TAGTTAGGGTAGAGTATAAAGTATAGATTATACTAATATAGCTTAATCTTATATAAGAGATTATCTTAATACTATAATCTACTAAGTAGAAACTTATAAATATCTTAATAGTTAATATTAGTAAGGATTTAAAAAAAGTAGTAAATAATATATTAATTACTTTAGATTATTCTATTATTTTATAGGATATATAGCTTAAAGTATTAAAGTTAATATATAAGTAGTTAGCTTAATAAGCTATATATATAAAGACTATATAGTATATTATAAGTATAAAAGATAGTACTTTTATAAGAGGTTAACTTCTTATAAAGGTTAAGGCTTAAGAGGAAAAGGAGTATAATAAACTATTAAAGAAGTAGGCTAAAATATAGAAAGTAGAGCTTTATAAGCTAAGAGCTAAAGAAGCTACTTTATAAGTAGCTTTATAAGTATTATAACCTTATCTTTATAGCTAAGCTATAGCTAAGGCTAAGGTAGAGGTAAAGGCTAAGGCTTATAAATAGCTAGCCTTTATAAACTTATAGGTTTAAGAGTAATATCTTAATATTTAAGAGGCTTAGGACTAAGTAGATAACTCTTAGAAGATATAGTTATTAACTATAATACCTCTTAAGGCTTTAGAGTTAATTCCTAACTATTTAGATTAGAAAGCTATTTAAGAGGCTTAAAGAGAAGCTATAGCTACTATTAAAGCCCTCCTTAAGCTAGCTTAATACCCTCTTAGCTCTCTAAATAGTAGTTATATAACTATTATAATAAATAGCTCTATTAGATTACCTAATAGTAATAATAGTATTAAGATTATTATATATTATCTACCTAGCTTAACTTAAGTAAGAGATATATTAATCCCTATAGGAAGACCTATAGATTTATATAAAAGAGAAGTTAAATTTATATCTCTTACTTATTTAGGTGAATTATATTATATACTTATAAATTACTTATTTAATAATCTAGAGATTATAGTAGGGGGTATACTAATTAGGGTCCTAAAGTTATAGGCCTATATACTATAGATTAATTACTATACTACTACTTTTACTTTAAAAATTATAAAATTAAATATATAGATTAATTAGCTATTAATTAATAATCTCTTAAATTATTATATAAAAAGCTCTTAAATTAATAGATTTAGAGGGTATTAAAGTTATAAGAGTTAGATATAAATGCGTTAAAGATATAGTCCATATCACCCCCTCTCTAGAGGGGGGCTAATTTGCATTGCTTACGTACCCGCCGGATACATGTACATTGCAACAGCGGCAGGGCCACCGACGCCGCGCACTGCAATCCGCCTTCCCCCTCTCAGTCCCCCAGGGCATTAGACCACTAGGAGCGGTGCGGCTTGGGCGCCCCAAGAGGAATGCTCAGCGCACAGCTTTAACTACATATGGCGGTGTCCGCTGCGCGTGGCGATCTCCCGTTGCGCAGCTCCGTCGGCCATCCATCCACAGAACCCATCCCTCATTTCCCACTCAACGAATGGAGTAATTTCTACTTGGCCGTCGTTGAGGAACCCCTGCTCTTCGGTATTGAGACTCGCCCAATGCCGCAGTGGGCCTGGTCCGACGGCATTTTTTGAAGCATGAATGCCGCTTAGTCAGGATACTCAACACCACGCACGATTCCCTTCAGGCGACCGATCCCGTACTGCGCCGCCGGTTATTTACCTTCAAGGGCCGGTGCTTAAGTGCAATGTCTCTTTGCCTTTAGACGGGCCCGTGTCGGTGTGGCTTAACAGTCCGGTTGGCCATGATCTAGCACGGCCACTCGGCTTGGCGTTTGCGCCGAGTCGCGACATGCGACATGCGAACAGGCGATCAAATGGATACATAACCTTCACTCGGCCACGCAGATGGTGTACATTTCTCGTCGATTGTTTAGCATATAGAATCTAGATTGAGTTATTTTGGCCGTCTTTCAGCGCCTTGCTTCAACAGTACCAACAATAGCATCAACGACATCATCAACACCATGTCGTCGCCAACTGAGTTCAAGGTCATCATCGTCGGTGGAGGTGTCGCTGGCCTCACCCTCGCCAACATGCTCGAGAAATTCGGCCTTGATTACGTCCTTCTCGAATCACACGAGGATATTGCACCGCAAGTCGGTGCAAGCATTGGCTTGTTCCCCAACGGTCTTCGGATCCTCGATCAAATCGGGATCCATGATGAGATCAAGGACGTCTTCAAGGGGAATATCCCTTACACCAAGACGCACTCGAGGAATCAAACTGGCAAGGTTGTTTCGACCATTGACAAGATGAGCGAGCATATGGAAGAGAGGTAAGCGTGCCCCGTTTCCACGTTCCCTGATAGTTCGGATGGGTTAATATTTTAGGCATGGCTACGGCTTGCTCTTCTTTGACCGGCAAGTCCTGTTGCAAATCCTATACGACAACATCCAGGATAAATCCAAGATCTTGACTGGACAAAAGTTCGTCTCGGCTGAGCTAGATGACGAGGGCGTCACTGCCGTCTGCACTAACGGCTCTACCTACCGCGGAACGTTTCTTCTCGGCGCAGATGGTATCCATAGCAAGGTTCGCACTGTAATGAGAAGCTGGGGAAATAAGTATGAGCCCGGCGTCTTTGATGAGAAAGAGGAGGACGAGGTTCCATGCTACTACAAGTGCAGCTTTGGAATCGCCATTGATGTGCCTAACTGGGTTGGCGGCGAGCAGCACATCGTCACTGGTCCAGAGAGATCTCAACTCGTCGTCTCAGGACCTGATAGCCGTGTTTATTGGTTTCTGTTCGAAAAGCTTCCTGAAACTCGATATGGCAAAGACATCCCGAGGTATTCGAAGAAAGACGAAGAAGACTTTGTGAAGAAAAACGCCAACGTCCCAATTACCGAGAGCATTACGTTCGGACAAGTCTTTGCCTCCCAATTGACATCGACACTCACGCCCCTGCATGAGGTTACATACAAGAAATGGTTCTTCAGAAGGTTCATCACCTTTGGCGACTCAGCTCACAAGGTATGCTTTGCATCGCCCCCCTTGCGTTTGAGTATTTTGTTGTTGTAAAGAAACTAACCCTGACTTCTCAGCCAAACCCAATCGGTGGCCAAGGAGGCAATGGTGCTATTGAGTCTTGTGCCGAGCTCATTAACGCCCTACTTGAGACAAAGGAGAATAGGGGCGATAGTTTGAGCAATCTAACAACAAAAGAGGTTGAACATGTCTTTGCGAAAACGCAGAATGCAAGGTACCAAAGAGCAAAGGAAATCGTCGCTGCGGCACACAAGATGCAGATCCTCAATGCCTATGAGAACCCCTTGCTTTCTACCGTGTTGCTGGAGCATCTTGGTCCCCTTGCGGGCTCTGAGTCGATTCTGAGTAGGCTGGGACAAGTCCTACTGGGTGGTACTCGAATAAAGACACTGCCCATTCCGAAGCGGCCGCGAATAATCCCATACAATGACGAGCTTCCAGCCGTCCCCATTGAGGAGGAGTCGGTATCATGGCTTGTCAGAGGCGGCCAAGTCGCATCCATGGCTGCTTTGATTCTCATTAGCGCCAAGGCTTTCCGCCTTCCATTTGATGAAATCACCAAATGGGCGGCTGAGGAACCTGTTGTCATCCGTTGGTTTGGCCAGACTAAAGTCTCAGATTTTTTGAACTCCCTGGTATCCGTCCTGGCAATTCTCGTGGAGAATGGTCCTGCCACTAGGCTACAGGTCATGAATTTTCTGTTCCAACTGGTGTCACCACTCCTGATTTATACTATCGAGGCGAATCGTGTCGGTAATCAAGGCACTCCTCTAGCCCTGGACCTCCTTTACTCATTCGGTATGCAAGTCCAAGGCATCGGCCGGATTGGTCCCCTCCACGCAGCCCTGCAGGCTGTATTTACCCACGAGCGTCCCACAGGGCGTCATGTGCCCGTGGAGACAGCGAAGGCTTTGATACCTGCCATCACACTGGGATACGTCATCCCAACAATCATGGTCTTTGCACGGACGCCGAATACAGTCGCATGGCAACACGCGCTTGCTCTTTGGCAATTCGCACCACCCCTTGTCGGTTTCCTGACCCGGGGCATTTCATCTCTCTTGAAAAGTACCCAGCGTGGCGCCGAAAAGAGCGAGGAGGACGAGAAGGACAGTCTTGAACGTTACAAGAATAAAGATGTGCCGATCTTGAACTCGGTATACACGTATGCGTTCGCAGCGCAGGCGACAGTTCACATTGCGTCGATGTTGTATGCTTGGGCACACCCTGAGCTTTCCATCTTCAAGACATTCTTCCAAGTCCCGAACCCTTTCAAGCCAGACTGGAACCTGCCCACTGTCGGTGCCAAGCTGGGCGTTTTCTTCAAGTATGATATGCTGTTGGCCTCGGCAGCTTCGTTCGCAACCAGCCTATACAGCATCTGGGATCTGCGCCGCCTCGGCTATGTCGAGACCAGAGATGCTCTCATTGCCGGGGCTAGCACCATCACGGGCCAGTTCTTGGTTGGGCCTGGTGCAGCCTGGGCCGGACTCTGGTATTGGCGCGAGAATAGGCTCGCTGGCTTGACCACCAGGTGCCAGTAGATGAGGGCTCAATCTGAGTTTACATGGTGGAATTGCTAAGAGAAGCGGCTTCAAGGCGACCATGTGGCCGCAGAGGAAATCGGGATAAATGAAATGACACATTTTATAGGGAAAGGAATAGATTAGATAAATAAATTTTGTTGTTCGCCTTTGTATTCCAAAAGTGTTGCAAGTGTTGGAAAGACAACAATGAGTGGAACTCCATCTCCCCAAGCAAGCGTAACAAGGCAACATCATAACTACCTTTCGTTTTGAGAATAAAATTTTTTCGAGATCGGCCTAGTTTCACCCACAACGTGTTAGTAGATTATAGATTATGCTGGGTCAGGCCACTGTCCGTCCCAATTTGATACGTTTCGGACGCTCGTCACTGGGAGAAGATATCGCATGCTCATCACTGCTGTGGCTGTTGCAGAATATCCAAGTCCTGTCGACCCGACTTGGAAAGTTCACTCGTGCTTGGAACCCTTGGGGCTGCCTTTTCCCCCAACTATCCATTTTCTTTCAATGATACCCAACCATAAGCCAAAAACAAGGAGAGTGACGGGTATTGTACAAGCCCAGTACACCCAGAATCCTTTTTGAACCATGTGTGATCCATCCCACTCGAGAAGTGGCATTGCAAATAGGGCGGCGAAGAAAGTAGCAGGAAGAAAAGCCATTGTCATGATAGCTACAGTCTTCATAGACGAACTGTCACGCTTTGCCGCCGATGCTAGGCTTATCCCAGCACGGGCATCCACATGGGTGAGCAAGGTGAACAACTGCATGACCATTAGTGTGCCAGTTCACAGTAGACTTTTAGAAAGTTTCCTCGTAACTTACCACGGAAGACAGTCTCTCTGTCCGAGCCTTCAAATACAATATATACTCGTCGTATGTTTCCATCTGTCGTTCGATTGTAGGCAGAGCATTACACAATTCTCGCAAGCTTGCTTTGTATCTCTCCATGGCCGGGCCTTGAGGGATTCCTAGGGTATCCGAATCCTCTTCAGCTTGCCTCAGTGTGGCCAGCATTTTCCAGAATGTATGGTGATTGCGGCCCCTGTTTGAGAAATTGACGCTTATCTCGCCAACTGCTTGCGACCAGACCGTCAGCTCGTCAATTTCTGCGCGAACCATCTTGACGGTCGGCTCTGACTTGATCAAGGCGTAGGTTTTTACGGCAGAAGGACCGAACCCGGTTTGCTGCTCGATTCTATGGATCACTCCAAGCTCCGAGGCCGTCTCGACATCAAAGTTGTGCTGTTGATGAATGGCGCTGCTAAGAAACAGTACTTGAGGAGCGTGGATATGGTCTGAGAAGGCGGATAAGACACGGCAGAAATCTTGAAAGTTTGCCCGCCTGCGTTCGAAAAACATCCCAACAGTCTGTCTTTTTGACGGGGAGAAACACCACAGCAACGCATGTGTGCTGGACCCGAAGAACCAGGTGTGAGACAAACCAGGACCTTTGTATGTATGGAAGCCGTCGTATTTTCCGCACACCATATACAATGCTGCAGGATGAACCCCCATGGCACTCGTTAGAGAACGGAAGGCTGCTTTTGATATGTTTGGGATCTCGCCGTGTATCTGGTCAATACGAATTAACTTGAGATGTGCCTCGCAGGATGGGCTACCAGACTCCACACCCGCCTTCGCCCATGATGACAGGTTATTCTCGGACACCATTGAGGCCAAAACGGTAGTTTGGTGAGCTGTGCCATTTGGTTCTGTTGCAGATATGGAGATCTCAAGAGTAGCGTGTTCAATTGGCGCCTGGGAGACCCGGAACCCATAGGCGTTGTCGAAGTGCGCCTGCGATAGCTTCACAAGCCCGTCCATCTTCAAAAGCTGGGCACTGAGAGAGCGTGAAGGTGTGTGTCGGTGAAGGTTGAAGCTGCTTATTCTCGCAAACACGTTGCCTTAGATGGTGCTCTGCTCCGGTCAGTGGTTCAAGGCGTCACTGTTGGGGATGACTAAGCTTTCGGGACGCTCACCACCTGGGCAGCTACGACCCGAACCAACTTTCCCGGTTCACTTTCCAACCTTCCACCTCACCCTCCATGCAGGTTTCCAGCTCAGTCACTTGGGCATGGCGGATGAGGCCACCAACAGTGTCGGCCGGGCACTCGAGGCCATCAAAATTGCCCGTCTCCAGCATCCAGACGACATGCTGCTTGAATGCTTCCTACAAGATGCGGCTGAACCTCAAGAAGCTGCGTACTACCTGCTCCAGCAATCTTATGTTGATGGAAATCGCTATGATTTCAGACCTTTTTTGTCTGATTGGAAAGAGTTGATTGGATCTTGTGAGTATCGCATTATCAAAGCTATGATTACCCGATGCATGCTAATATATTATATCATCTAAGTTGTATTTGAAGATCCACCAAAGGAGCTTCCTGACTCCAATATCATCGCCGACGTCATCAGAAGAGATGGTGGAAAGTGTTGTATCACCGGAATAGATGGATCACTCTTCGATCCCCTCGTCGTCGCTCCGATTCTGCAGATGAAGAGGCCAATCAAAGAAGTATGCGTGTCCTTTTTCATCCCGACTCTTGCGTTTTTTCATGGTATCCGCTAATCAAGCTGACTTTTATTAGTCTCTCCATAACCTGCTCGCAGTTTTTGTCGGCCAAGATGGATCAAGTCATATAATTTCCACCAAAACGACCACCTGTCGAGATCACTGGCTTGTCCGCAAATCAGCTGCAAGAGCCTCATTCCAAGGCTATTTTCGCTTTACATGGATTAAAGATCTTGAGGTGAGCTGCCCTGGCCGGTATAGCTTGAAGATTTAGCTGATGAAGATGTAGTATTACACTACTGTGAACAATATTGGAGGCCCAGCGTGGCCTTCCATTCTTGAAAAGATGGCACCTGTTCGTCGCTGTCGGCTTTCCGACCATTCATCCTCTGGAATAGATCTGCCGGATGTTGCTTCACTACAAGCCTTAACATTTCGCCAAGGCAGTCCGATGGACTCTTGTTGCTCGAGAAATTGCGGGAAAGTTGTCACGCCCGACGAGCAAGAGAGGGTCTTCGAAATTCTTCTACCGCCTGTCAGAGAATGTTGCTATGACCGTGGCTACAGCATGGCGCCTGATGCCAACTCGCCTGCGAACAAAGGCATACCGAGGCTTGAGGCTACTGGGTAACCGGCTATATGGTTCAACCTGCAGCTCAAGCGTTCAGCAGCTTCCGTTTGGCATGTACCTCAAAACGTTGTGCGGCGACCACCACCAGGGACTAGCTAACGAGTATGGTGCCTTACAACTGGTGCGAGAGCATACCCAAGTGCCGGTCCCTTGTCCTTTGGATTTGGTTTCCGATCGTACCACATCTTACATGTTGACGTCACAAATTCCAGGCCATCGCCTTGGGGTGTGCCTTGACGCACTCAGTGATGACGAGTTGTGTGACTTGGTGTGCGACTTGCGGGAGTATCTCCGAGAGCTCAGAGCAATCCCAAAGCAGGTTCTACCCAACTATGCTATCACAAATGCAATTGGGAAGGCATGCTACGACTATCGAATCATTGCAAGCATGAACCAGGAGGGGGAGCGGAACCGGGTTTTCGCTGGTCCGTTTCCTACCGAAGATGACTTCAACAAGATTCTTGAGGTCGCCTCACTGCCCAACGTGTCGCACCGCAGTGGACACAACATCACTTTCACCCATGGAGACCTGAACACGCGGAATGTTCTGGTGTCTAACGGCAAGCTCTCGGGAATTGTTGACTGGGAGAACTCTGGGTGGTTCCCGGAATACTGGGACTATACCAAGGCGCATTATGGCACGAAAATGCGGAGGCGGTGGCTGCGAGCTATCGACGAAGTTTTCGAAGACTTTGGGGATTTTCAAAAGGAGTTGGCTATCGAGGAAAAGCTCTGGGAGTACTGTTATTAGGTACAGTAGTCCACAACCGGGATTAAAAATTAATGAAAGGGGATTAATGACTGAATACTTTTGGCGCGCATTCATGTCAGTGAAAATCTGTGTCATAAAAAGACTTAAACAATGTAGGAATCCGACGCTATGCGAAACAATCGAAAGCTGCATGGAGTTCCTCCAAATAAATCATCAAGTGTGAAGGCGATGTCTATTAGCATACCCTGGGTTTTTATCTCTCTCGCAATGGATGCTCAGGACATCAGCTAAATTTGAGTAAGGTACCTTCCAAATACTCATCTCTTAGAGTCAAAAATCTATAATCTGCTCTTCCAGCGATTGTTAGTGTTGAGCGCGATTGCGGGTCATAGCACTAGAACAGTGGCAAGATTAACGAACACCTCGTCCATCTGATCCAACGATTTCTCCTTTATCTCTGAGTCCAGGAAACAATCTTATGAGAGGTCTGCGCTGCACTTTATTAAGTCTCAATGAGCCGTTGCCATGAGAAAATGAGGTCATTCGGCATGTTAACTAAGTAGAGATCGAAGCCGAGATTAGCGGTGACACTGCCTCCTGAAATCGGCATATACGGTCTTGGCGAATTGCTCTGTTTGGCACGGATAGATACGCCACTGTCACTAGATAATAATCAGTTCAGAGTAGCGGACCCGATTCCAGTTTTGTTGAGTGTTTAGTTCGGTGAACAGGCTGGTTCGGGAAGGTTACAATCACAGTGTAGCATCACCAGGGTCCTACGATTAGGATGAGGACAGGGTCTGCTAGGAAACACACAGCGATATTTAGTTAAATATCGCTTCCTCTCGTAAATAAGATGGCTTATGATGGGATGAGTAGCAATAAACAACAGTAAATATCATGCGGATTTCGATCGGAATTTTTGCCCTTGCGGCAGCCTCTTCCGCTGCAGCTAGCAATGAGGCGAACAGTCGTGTTCGCCAAAGACCGGATGAGTTCTGGGACCATATAATCAAGGGCAGCGATGTCGTGGATTCTATGCACGCAGCACGGGACCAGGAGAGCAGCGAGCTTGTAAACTTCAACATGCGTGCAAAAGCTGTCGATCCCAGCAGTCTTGGAATTGATACTGTGAAGCAATATAGCGGGTATCTGGACAATGAGGCGGAGGACAAACATCTATTTTACTGTAAGAGACTGCGAAAAGTAACCAAAAAGGGGAATAGGAATGAAATTGACCAATATCACTAGGGTTCTTTGAATCGAGAAATGATCCCTCTACAGATCCCGTTGTGGTGAGTCGCTCGTCCTCGCATGATACGTTGAAATTCCAGCCCCGGCATGATCAATTATTCTAACTGAAACTGAAGCTTTGGCTTAACGGAGGGCCAGGATGCTCTTCTATGATTGGTCTCTTTGAGGAACTCGGCCCTTCCCGAGTCCTATCCAATCTTACCATCGTTCGCAACCCTCACGCTTGGAATAATAACGCCTCTGTTATTTTCATCGACCAGCCTGTCAATACAGGCTTCTCATACACCAATAAGAATGAGACTACGAGCAGCCTGGCTGCAGCCTACGATCTCTACGCTCTGCTCACACTATTCTTCACTGAGTTTCCCGAATACTCGACCCAAGACTTCCACATTGCTGGGGAATCATACGCAGGGCACTATGTTCCCAGCATCGGACACAAAATCGTTTCCGAGCCGGACACCATTATCAACTTGAAAAGCATTTTAGTCGGAAATGGCTTGACCGATGCTCTGACACAATACGCCTACTTCCGCCCAATGGGCTGCGGAGAGGGAGGTTACAACGCGGTGTTGTCTGAGCAAGCCTGCCAAACCATGGAGTCTAATCTGCCTCAGTGCCAGGAAAGTATCCAGAAGTGTTACGACGGGGGTTCCAACACTGTGTGCATAAATGCTTTCTCCCTTTGCAACCGTCTGTTTATAACGCCCTACTCATCCACCGGTGCTGACTTGTATGATGTCCGGCCGAACCAACCCGAACTCGACTCCGGTATAAACGAATGGCTGAACAAGCCCGAGGTCATTGAAGCCCTGGGAGTTGAGGTGGACGGATTTGAGCAATGTGATACTACCGTGTACCTGGAGTTCCTCTACTCAGGGGACTGGATGCAGCCAATGCACCGCCTCATTCCGGACATCCTGGCCAAAATTCCGGTGCTCGTCTACGCTGGTGATGCAGACTACATCTGCAATTGGCTCGGAAATCGAGCCTGGTACAAGGCTCTGGACTGGTCTGGGCATGAAGCCGTTAACAACGCCCAGGTGCAAGCTTTGTACGCTGGTGACGAACACTACGGCGATCTCACTGTTGCGGACAATTTCGCCTTTATTCAAATATTCCAGGCTGGCCATTACGTGCCAACTCATCAACCTGTTGGTTCCTTAGATATGCTTAACAGATGGGTTGGAGGAGAATGGACAAGCTAGAAGGAGAAGGTGTGAAATTAACCATGGTATGCTCTTCTGTAAAAACTACATTTAAGCCTGTACCTATCCATCCATCCGTCTCTAGGAAGGGTATCATCTCATCTATGTTCTAGTAGTGTTGGGTAGACCACTCTTGCTTTTCCCCAAATAATCTTTCAGGAAATTGTGAATGGCCTGCTGAGGCGGGCATCTCTTCTAAGCAAACCTAAGTGGATAAGTGGAAAGAAACCCCTTTCTTAGAAACAGGGGAAACGTTTAAAGACAAACTTGTTGACATTCTCGTTGAGATCGGTCGTCTTTTTGCGGACGTTGATAGTGTTAGATAGTTGGCTAAACCTCAGGAGATTTCTGAGCGGCTGAAGTCGATTTTGGACAGGTTATGGGCCGTGAATGATGAATTGAATAGTCGGTCCGTTGGTTCCGGCCGTGATATTCTCAAGTTCATGGATTTTTAATGTTAATGGGACGATCTGAAGCGAACCACTTTCCAATGAAAACTGGATGGTTGGAGATCTCGGTCCTATCACAAAGACTGACTTCTCACCACAATCACTTAAACCGGATCGGATCCAGGCAACAGAGTACCGTCGCAAGATTAGCCAGCTCATGCCATTCTTCCAGGTAGCCCAGGCAACAGTTTGGGCCGTTCCTATGTTGTCACTCCCAATCGGCTGTTCGCTTACATTCCTTCAAAACCAACACAATAGCGAGGAGGTGCTTGAACTTAAGATACAGTTCAGTCAAGCCTTGGGTGGGAAAGCCAGTTTCGCAATCTCGCGGTCTTTGAAGAGCTTGGGCAGGTATGAAGGAGGCGCTCCTCGAATCTAACGGTGCAGAATATTCGGTCGGTCGGGCTGCTCGCGAGGAAGTTACAGATGCCTCGCATTCGGTCCTTTTCGTGCTGGGATGAAGGCAGGGCGACCACCGACGAAATATTCCTCCTCTACTTCGGGGGTCTCGGGGGCAGCGTCGACAGAGAGATTCGGCCATTGAAGTGTCGTTGGAGTTCATGGAGTCTTCTTCGAGAGGTTCGCCAGATCTAGCGAAAACTTGCGAATTTCGGCCTAACTTCCCCAATGCTAGTAGGAATGAGGTCCCCAAGACGTCGCTGCGGGTGTAAGCGAAGGGCTTCCGCTAGGTGTAGAAGTCATGCTAGAAAAGGCGTTAGGGAATTGAAGATTCAGCGGAGAGTCTAGATATGTCGTTGCACGGGGCGGGGAGTCTTGGGCTCAGCTGGCCTACCAACTCTCCGACCAAAGCCAAGAGCGCAGCCGGGTGAAGAAGTTCTAGATGTTCGGAGGTTCGGTTCTGCCAAGGGTCGACTGGAACGATGCTCATCCGCGAGCATTAGCGTTATTGCTTCGGGGAGGAAGGGTGCCGAGAGCCTCGAAAACGCTTTAGGTTCTAATTTGAGATGAGGGTGGTGGCATCAGTGAACTGTTGGATTGGATTGGATGGTCGGTTGCTTGTCCAGTGATGCACTGCGTTAAATTGAGCCCGCGATATTGATAGCGATCATTTCATTTCCACTACATGTACCTAGGGGAATGGTCACATTCTCCCAGGTGGCAGGACTGATGGGCCTAGTGCTGGTCAGTTGGGGAGGTGCCTTCCTTCTTGATGTGGTCAACTCAACTCCGCCTACCGCTGGGGGCTAAAACATTTGCTCATTTGGCGGCGGCATTAGACACTGGGCAGCAACTCCTCCCTGTAATCCAAAAAAATGCCATGTCTTAACTCCTCCCTCTCGTTTGGAGTAATTCTCCTCAATTCTCCCTGTGACGCACGGGTTCAATGGCGAACTTGGGCAAACCAAGCATCTTGCGCATGTATCATTCAACTCGTAGCTACTGCGGGACTGACATAAAAATCGCACCCTTTTCCAGATTGAAGACCTCAATCAGTATTCTATGCGCAGTCGATATCTTCAAACCTATGCCATACTCCCCAACTCAAAATTCATGATCTGCACCTATGCCATACTGACTGCTCAAACCGCACTAAACGAAAAATCCACATCCTCACTATCTGTGTTGAGACCATCGTAGTCGTAATTCTGTCGTAATTCAGCAACCGAGTACTCCTCATAAACTGCAGTCGAGACGTAATATAAAATATAAAGAACAGTGTCAATCCGGTCATCTCTCGAGGAATAGTGATTCAAACACGCCAAGCGAGAGAGAAATAAGTGGAAGGGGGAAAAATCAGAACTCCTGTCCCTGATGATACTGTGAGATGATTTGTGTGTTCTCACCAAGATTCACCTAGCAATCTTGGATTTGTAAACCACTCAAATCCTGGCTAAAGATGGGCTCCGACTTGGGCCTGATGGCAGGGGCTTTCTTCAGGTACTGGACTTGGTACGCCTTTCCACGGCGGATGATCTCCCAAGGCACCGGCAAGAAATCTCTCCTGGGGGAGGAAGCTATGTGGATGCGAATGCCGTCGATGGACATGCTGCAGATCTTGGTGTGCTCTTCCCACGTGAACGCGACTTGGTCTCCGTTGTTGCTGGCTTTCTCGTGTTTCTTGAAAACAGCGTGGGCAAGGCCGAGCAAGATATAAGGGTCGGTCCGTGGACTCCACTCGGGCTCCCACTTCATCCAGAGCTCGAATCCATCACATCCTACGTACTGCAGGTTGGGTGCGGCTGCTAGGGCGGCTCCGACTCTCCACTATACACAGCGTGTTAATCTTCACTGCGCTCATGCGGTCGGGGATGGGATCAACTCACGGCTCTCTTCACGTCGGGCGCAAAGTGGAACTCCTCCAGACTCTGTAGGTTCTCGACGAGGATTGTGACTTCGCTGTCTGAAAGCTTTGGGAACTTGACAGCCCGAGCTATCTCTCTGAGGCTGGGCTCCCAGTTAGAGTGGGTGAACTTCAACACCTTGAGATTCTTATGCTGGATGACAGCTTCTATCAGTCTAGGATAGAACTTGAGCATATTGTAGCCTGGAGGATTGGCAAACTGGTTGTAGTTCTGGATCTCTAGTCTGGTGAGACTGTCAAAGGATGCGATGAGGCGTGACATGTCGGTAGTAGACATCACACTAGGGCCGTCGGTAGTCATCGCAAACCCAATCCATCCAAGACACAAGCTTCTCAGCTGGACACCTAGACTTGTTTGGATTGGTGAACTCAGGCTTCTGACAACAACGTCGATGAAGGGGCGCTGGGAACCATTCAGGTGCTTGATGCTCAGTTCGTCCAGGTTGGCGAAGTCAATCATCCTTGGAAGGACCCTCACCATGTTTGGATGAAACTCAACGGAGCTCAGTGTGAGCTCCTTCAGCGATGAGAGGAGAGGGAGTTGGTCTTCGCGAGAGGAAAGTTCACGAACCATTCTCCTCCAGGTGTACTCCCATGGACCCTCGAAGAATGGCTGCAGTTGCAGACGCTTAAGAGTCTTGGCCGACTTAAGGAGGAGGGTCGGGATGGTGGTATTCCCACATGCCATATCACCGCCGAGGCTCAGATATGTCAGGCCTCTCAGGCGTCTCAAGGCCTCCAGACTCTCGGGTTTCTCATCGTTCCAGAAACCCACCTCCTTTAAGACGTTGTGGTGGAGGATTCGCCCAACCATTCGGCTATTTGTTTGTTAGCGTCCTGTCCTATAAGGTTTATGGAAGAAATTGGCCTTGGCTTCGTACTCAGTAAGCAGGTCAGAATGCAAACCCTCTAGGGAATGCATGTTGTTGAAAGCTGCCTCAAGCCATCTTGTGGCCGACCTGATACGCCCGGGATCCTCCAACTTGGGGATCCCGGTAACGAAAAGCCTCCGCAAGTGGGAGGTGCCACCAGAGACGCGAACGGCAGATTGCCACGTATGGCGATACCGAACCCCAAGGGAATGGAACCCGTGGTTGTGTATGTGTGGCCGCAGGAGAAGTTGTAGTTGGTCCCAATCACTGGGACCGAGGACTTGGACCGAGACGGTCCGGTAGAGCCTTGGCGTAGTATACCTACGCCATCTTCTACTGACGGCGTTTAACTTCGCCAAGTCTTTCAACTCGGGCAGCTAGGTAGGATGTTAGCTTCCAGCCGGCTACGAGACCTCGGGATTTTCCCTGCTCACATGGTCGAGGATGATGCCAACGATCTCTCCTGGTATGGTGGAGATGATGTCGTTGGCAGGGGCAGGGGAGGGGGAGGGCAGGAGAGGCAGGGGGGAAGACATATTGCCGTTGTTTTGGACTTGGTCTTGTCTTCTTAGTAGGATGTTATGTTACACGAATGGATTCGGGACTGGTCTACGCGGGACTACAAAGCGTGGGAAAAGCGGGGATCAGGTACGAGTGAGCTACTGGGGCTTGGGAAACAAGTGAGGACGCGTCCAGACATGCATTTGTTTATTATTGTGTCGAGAGACGAAGGAAAGGGGAGACGCGGGTGGGGGAAACACGCCTCTCACTGGGCAACGATTCAGCCGACAAGTACCTCCGTACCTCCATAGATTTGCCCCTTTCTCTCTCTATGGTATTGAACATTTCACTTTGATTCCATTGTGTGTCATGTGACGAGCGCTGGGAAGTCCGTGAGAAGCTGCTGCAGTAGTACTCAGGTAAATCCGTGGACAGCCGTTCAGCACCAACGCTAAAGGAAATCACTTAGTCGCCTTAAAAGGATTCATGCGTCCAGTAGGTTTCATCATTAGATGAAGTAAGGTGAGCAGTAGATCCGGGATATGGATGACAAGACTACCATCCCGAATTCAGTCTCAATGCCTGTAATCGGGCCATTGTTGGCCATTCAGGCTTTCACAACGGTGCAAGTGTGTCATAGCATTGATAACCTGGGGTTATACAGCATCAATAGCTCGAAGCCAGTTGATGATCAGTGGGGAACTGAGGGGGTTTGTCGCCTTTTCTGCCTCATGTGGTCATCTCGCTGGTGGTCGAAATTTGAGACCGACGCAATGTTTTTATTGACCACCAATATGGGCTATGCATCACAAGATGGTGTGCACACCTCTTGCATAAATTACCCCGCCCGTGGTTACAGACTTCTTTTTGCTTCTCTATTCTTCGTCACAGCATTTCAGTGACTCTGACTTATTACTTTGGACTTTCATCCCGATTCAGGACAAAATAAGCTCTCTGGCACCCGCTTCAATTTGGTGGTTGAAGCCTTTGATCGCGCACACAGCCCACCGACACACGACACTCTCCACTACCAACGAACAAATGGAGGAACATACCGACTACGAGCTCCAAGATCCAACCATGGCCGGCATGTCGTCTTCATCGGAACGCATGCACGCGCACGCATTCGAGGATGGGCCACCGAGATTAACTCAGCAACCGGAGCACAGATCGCCCGAACCTCAGGGGCACTCCAATGACAAACGAAGAGGCGGGCGGCCTTCATGGAGGCAAAAGCAGCCATCAGGCCCCTATCCCCAGAGACCACTCCGTTCAGATTCTGGTCAGTCGAGCTTGGATACATCCCGGGCTGGGAATCAAGGCGACGAAGCTGTGAATGACACTACCTCCACCGGTGATGCGGCAGCGCGACAAGACATTCCGAATTCGTTGGCGAGTGCCATGAACGACATGGGACTCGACAAGGACCCCTCGGCCTCAAGTACCAACGTCTCACAACAAAATCCCTCTGAGCACTCCGATCACAGCGTTCCGACTGTGATTCAGATCTTTCAGCCCTATCAACACAGCAACGGGTTCTTTAGCTTTGCTGATCCATGCCAATATGAATTGGTGGCAGACGAGTATCTCCATGCCTCTGGCAACCAACCAGGTCAATATCGCATTATGAAATACAATGCTCCACGTGCCTATGATCATAATCAACTGTCCGAAGCCGAAAGCGCGATCCTCGATCTCCTTCGCCCTTCTGATAGCCACCAGGTTGATCAATTCGATACCTTGGTACATGACTTCGGGTATTCCACTAGCAGTGCTCAGCGCCATCCACAAGCGGCTGACCAGAGCGGTGCATCCACCACTTCTCACTCGCAGCCAGGCCAGGACGGACATTCCGACCAAGACCAAGGCCCATGATAACGGGAGTGGGCACTGCAAATGCATTTTGTGGCTATCCAACGAGGCTTTCACGACGGGGTTTTCTTTGAAGTTTGGTGTTCTATTTGTCTATCTGTAGGGGCTGTTGGATCTCACAAGCATCATCCTGCTAGCATCTTATAGTTATCTAGAACCACTTTATGAATTTAACGGTACGCGTTTACTATCTTGTAGCGGGGTAATTTTCACGCTTCGTGACATGACGTCAAATGTCGATCATCTGCCAGTAGGATCGGGATCACAGCCAACTCCAGGGGGAGACCGGACCTCGTAGGAAAAAGACATATTCCCGGTGCTGCCTCTGAACACCCAGGGACGTCGAAGCCCCAGCCTCTGAAGTGGTCTACTGTTATCTGTTCAGCTCTGCATTTCAACCTCCCTGCATCTCGGGGTAATAAATGGCTACTCCACACCACCAATACAAATGCCAGCTGACAATCATGATTGCCGAAGCAGAGATAACTCGTCTCCGAGTGTCACATCGTCGCAACTCCGCTCCTAGCTGCCTTTTGCAATTGCTTCTGCAATTTCTTCTGCATCAATAAACCCCCCGCAGTGTTTGTCAAGCGAAGTTAAAAAACCGGCGCGACGTAAATATAGGATTAAATATTAGAGTCGCTTAGTGCCTGTGGATTCTGGGGTAATCGGTCCAGCATCAAGGGGGGAGGGGGTGGAGCATCCTCTAAACAGCTGGTGGAGAATTTCTCCCGAACGCACATGCACCAACAAACCGACCATGAAATATGAGCGAGAAGCGCCTGAAGAAAGGGACAATCATGCATTAGGCACCATGGGATTAGTCCAATCAACTCGCTATCAAGGAGACACGTTTCAATATCTGGCTCTCAGGCATGTGTTCCGATGCGGGTACCTACTCGTGCCAACGTAACCCACCTTTTTTCGTGGGCTGGTAAACTTCCCGCCTTTATTATTAGGTGCGGAACAGCAAATCCGGCCACACCCGAAAGGGGACCCGAAAGGGCACCCGAAAAGGGTGGGTATCTATTGTGCTCTCCCTCTCTCAGTGCCGTATGATGACATGGGCCATTTACGCCAGGAAGTCGAGGGCTTGTCATCCAGAACAACAAGCCTGGCATACATCCTTCATGCGCTCTTCTAGAGTCATGGCTAGGTTTCCACAGACCCATCTCGTAGTGGCATGAAGATCTCGATCAGAATATTCGTTGCTTGATAGTAGCAATGTCGAGGGGTAAATTAGATGGCTGCCTTGCCTGTGTAACTATTATTGCTTACGTGCATAAGTATGTACCTTATGTTGATTCAATGGTTGGGCATCAATGTGCTCTCTTCCGGTTCAATGACGCTCACTGATGTGGGCCACTAGGCAGCCAGGCACAAGCGGGCGCTAGCACAAGCACTAAAAAAGCTGCCGAAACCCACCAAATCCGCTACCAAGTGCCGACCAAGAAACGCGTCAGGGGTCCAGCGTTTATTGAGACTGCCCGAGCTCTTCTGCCCAACGCACCTCGCGCCCGCCGCAGCTGGAGAGCTCATTCCTGTCCTGTCATCATCTCTGTCGCTTGCGTGCGCCATCTCCCATCCGCGAAGCAGCTGCCAGCCCACGGTGCTCCTTCTCCGTCGATCGCCTCTCCCGCAAAAATGGCCTCCTCTTTCGACGATCAGAACGAGGTGCAAGCTGAGGTGCAGCGCGAAGCGACTCCTGCAACAGCCCAACAAGACCACCAGCTCGACCGAAGCCCAGAACGAAATGACCTCGACGACCCCGCTCCCTACCCCGCGTCGACCGATGATGTCAACGACATGAATGACGATGGTCTCAACGGCCAGAATGACGATGATCTCAACGTCCAGTATGACGATGATCTCAACGTCCAGTATGACGATGATCTCAACGTCCAGTATGACGATGATCTCAACGCCCAGAATGACGATGATCTCAACGTCCAGTATGACACTGAGGCACCAGACAGGGGCCCAGACCCCGATTTATACGACGCTCCTTTCATTAATGCCGAACTCGACTGCCTGTTTTCTTCTCAAGCAATGATGCGCGTTCACGAGCGCTACGCGCAAGAAGCCAGCCAAGAGGCTGTAAGACTGATCACCTACCTCCGCACCAACCTCAACCCAGACTTTATCGGTCTTCTGGTTGGCAAGCCCGCAATCCAGATCAGACGAGTCATCATCCGACACTATATCAAGAAGCGGTGGGAACGTCTAGGCGTTTGGAACCCTCTCTGGGGTATTCCTGGCCGTGTCAACCAGCGAGACATCGACAACCCCGCCACATGGACGTGGAAATGGGAGCGCAGGCATCCCGAATCCGACCCAAATCACCCTCTACGTCGTACGATTCGTCTTCGCCAAGGACTTCGGCGCGCAGAGTCCGGGCCCGTTCCCCTACGCGGCGACCTCGCCAGTGATGATTCACCTGAGGAGGCGGAAGACTTCCTGTTGTCTCGGCCGTTTTCCGTGTGGAGACTCGAGGGGCATGAAGAATATCAGCGTATGCTTCGGGGCTATGATACGGATTGGGACATTGCCAACATCCTCTGGGGACGTTGGGAGCAAAGGCACGACTGGAAGGAGGAGTGGTACGACAGTGATCTTCAAGGTCATGCTATCCTTGGCTGGACCTGGCCCCACGAAAATCCCTTTTCAGAGGTCCCCCGTTACGATGAACTCAATTCAATAGACGACATTGAGTTTACTCCTTCTGAGGCCGATGCTCTGGAGGCAATTGACGAAGAACTCAGGCTCGAGCAGACCGGGATCGCGCAGACAGCGACACCAGCTGCAGCGACCGGGACCCAAGATGCCCTAGCGGATGCTGCTATACATGCAGTTTACGAGGAAGTCGAGCTAGAACTGTTTAGGGCGCAGCACCCATTGGACAACGGTGTGGTTGAGTCTGGGCTGGGTCACCTACCTCCCGACAACCCCGAAACCCTCGATAACTTGACCGAAACCGTCATCCCTTCGTCTGAATCCCAGACCCAATCATCCAACGCGGCCCAGCAAATCGCTCCCCTGAAGAAGACTCGCCCACAGGCAAGAGCTCCCGTGCGAGCTCCGGTAGCAAAGGGTGCAAGACGGCGCGCTAAGACGGCGGCCGTTGCATCTGGTCCTTCCGCAGCCAAGGCGAAGTCTGGCATCGGCCAGGGTCGGAGAAGACCTCGGCGGTCTGCTCACCGGCGCATATTGGCGCTTGTCAAGGCTGCCAAGAAGGCAGACACGCGTGCAACAAAGCAAAGACAGACTACAGGCAAACAAGACCCAGCCGCTGACGAGGCCTTGGTCTCTGCGGCTGCTGCTGCGCGCTCAAGAGCAAGACAGCTGAGAGCTGCCACCGGACAGCGCCAATCAGCACGGCAGAGGAATCAGCCACCTACTGTCGGCCGCGGAGCCTCCCGTAGATGCACGGCCAAACCAACGGGTGTAGTGAAGCGTCGCTCGGGCCGTGCCAGACGTCATTCACAGATGGGCTCATGATTATTGATGCAGAACATTGATGCAGAACTAGGCTGCGAGGAGGGGTTTTGGATATGAAAGAGGCTAGGATAAATAAAGACCTGACGAGCAGCTTGTCCCGATGGTAAGGGAGTCACCGGTATGAAGGTTTACAGAGTTTTCCTTCTGCATGGCTATGGCCTTGGGCTAGCAGAGCTTATTTTTGTCTCTGGTCTTCATTGTGTTGGGATGTCGGGCCTGGCATCTTCTATTGCTGTTTTTTTCCCCTGTGTGAGTCAAGCTACTCGAACTCTCACACCTGCGCTCATGATTGTTGTTTTTCCTTTGGGATTAAGCGATCAGTATCGGCCACAGCCCGAGCTCTTCTGCCCAACGCACCTCGCGCCCGTCACAGCTAGAGAGCTCATTCCTGTCCTGTCATCATCTCTGTCGCTTGCGTGCGCCATTGGCAACCTAATTGTTCCAGATTACTCGCATCGCACCCTGCTCCCTTCCATATGTTTGTCATTTAGGCTCGGTATGATCATTTTTGCTGCGCTATGCTGACACTGGGTATTACTTTCTTGGGCTCGCTAGCAAGCAGAGATGAGCTGACAATGGATTGTTTTTTATGCCTCTAAACCTCGCCGGCGGCGATTGAGCACAAACAAGACGTAGAGTGACCAGCATCATGAGATAATTGGCCGTGATTCCATAGACCCTAGATGAACACCACAGGATTTCAAGTACGGTCATCTATCACAATCCCGTCCCTTCAGCCAGGTTTTGACCTGGTTTACAACTACCTCCCTAGCACTGGCATCGGCTACCGCACGGATAGCCAGAACGCTCCTTCGGCGCTGCACATGTCGGCTCCGTCTGGACCTCGTGACTTCCCCTCCTTGGGCCTGTCATGCCGCAATCTACCTACCTACTGGACTAGGGAAGCACTACCTGTGACCTTGCTACCTCTTTACATGTAGGCAGGTGGCGAAAAAAAGCTACGTATCTAGGTCTAAGCTGACATTGCTTGGTTTGTTTCTCTTCTCCTCTCCTCCCCCTCCTCTTCTCCATCGAACCGCCTTCATCTTCAGTTCTGGCGTATCTTTACTCTATCTTTACTCTATCCTTATTCTATCTTTAACCATCATCTCTATATTGTAAGTTCTTCGGAGAATGATCAGTGAGCTGATCCTAACCAGCATACCATAGATGGATACGCGGCCCCGGCCAGACCAGTACACGCAGCGAGGGGGACCGGCCAGCCAAGCAGGCAGAGGCAGCCCTATCCAGGGCTGTCTGGGCCAAATCCCCCAACCCATGGCCAACGCGTTAACCTTTCTCGAGCCCTCGGCTCCTTGACGCGGTATCGTACCTATCATCTACACGCAGCTAGATATATCGAGCGGTGCATAGTAAACTGACTTCCATATTCATAGGCGAGCACCGACATGAGCCGCCCGGCCAACCCGGCGGGCTATTCTGCCGTTGCCAAGGGCCTTGCCCCGGGCAAGCCCCAAAGCTACGTCCAACGTATGCCATGCTGCTGAAGCATGCTCGGCAGAGTATGTCTCTCCCTTGGAGCTTGGCGACCACGACTCTTGCACATCGTACTGACTTGCCAACGTGAGTCCAGGTCCGACGGGGGTTGGGGTTGGGAGGGGTTCTAGGCGTTGGCGGCAGGTTGTCCTGGGGAACTGAGAGGGGGAATTTCTTGCCGGGCCAAATAATCAAATTGATTAGTGAATACATCACTTACTCGCACTTGGCTGGGCTATCTTTAGCTACGTGTCAGCTTCTTCTTCAATCAATACTCATACCACCACTATCTTGCTCTTCTGTTCTCATCAAGGTGTTTATTCGTGCGAAATTAAACCCCCCAGGGTAATTTTGACCACCACACTTCGGCTACCTAAGTATCGAACATTATTCTACACAGGTCTAGTGCATAATCAAGCCGTAGTGTGTTCACGGAGAGGAGTATACCAGACCAGAGCACATCTGGAAGCCTGTTGGACAGCTCGAACAGACTGTCCCAAGCTCAGGGAATTGAGGTTACAAGGAAACCATTGCCAGTATTTCATGTCTCGTAAACCATCCTCCAACTCTGAGAGTCGTCATGTCATCAATTTCGCCCCGAAGTATCACGCTCCGAAATGAACAAAAGAAGCCCACAGTGGTGGCCTTTCAAGCCAGTATTGGCCTCCGTTGCCAGCAAGTGGCTGAGGATCGTGGCACTCGTCGATATATGACGCTTCCTGTTGGCCGGCCGAAGACCCCCCATCATTTGTTGTAGCCGGCGTTCCCTCCTCCAATAATTCGGCTTCGAGCCAGTCGGTCCGGTGCTGGCGAGTGGCGGCATGTAAGGCTCGGCACACGGCCTCGTCCGTCACGGCCCCGACTCTAATATTCTCGTATACCAGCCTCGCCACATCAACGCGCATCCTCCCATTGACCTTCCACAGCGTGCCAATGACATGACGGAATCCTGCGAGCTGGCACGAGCTGATCAATTGAAAGGTCTCATGATGGGAGCTTTCATGCCTGGTCACGCCAGAGGCCGACAGGTAAGCAAGAAACGGGTACCTTCCATCGGTGTCGGGTTGGGCCAGGTCCACCACGCGTAGAGGATCTTCTTTCCAATCTCTCAACAGCAGCTGGCTGTCGGATGGCGCAATGTCGGTGAATCCATGGCCAGCAAAGTGAAACACACTACAGCCCTTCAACTGTGACATGACAGCTTTCCTATTCGGCTCAGGCTGAACAGGACGAAGCGACAAATCTTGGAAGAGAGTGTGTAGTTCTGCCACTTCTTGAGCTGCGTGCGGGAGTGGGCTATAATCCGGCGTGTCTCCCATCCCAACAAGGACCCCAGTGCCTGACCACCGTGACGGTTTACGTCTGATGCTGATGATCGATTTGACAGAGCATGCATACGATGACATGACTCGGTCAATGACTGTATTGTCGGAACCATCACCGTGATATCCCGCTGCGTGGATGGGGAAGCTGCTCAATACCCCAGTTGGAATCCACCATACACGACGCCAATCGCCGTCGGAAGGGGGGCCAGTCAACCCCAGGGCATTCAGGACAGGGCTAGCAACAGTATCCCAAAGCCACTCGAGGTTCACACGGGCGCTCAGGATCGTTTGCCTTTGACGCCTTGCGATTTCTGCTCTGGAAAGGCCGGGCAATTCCACAACTCGCACCTGGCGACGCTCTATAAGGAAAGCATCGCATCGGATGCGGCTGACATTGATCACAACTATCGGACCATGTTGTGCAGCCTCACGCATCTCAGCCTCTCCCGGAGGAAGGAGAAAGTCTGTGAACTCAGGAATAGTACGAATCTCGCTGAGAAGATGGTCGAATTTCTTCCTCACAACGTCATGTTGCTCAAGAGGTGTCCCTGGATTTGAGCACCGTTGTAGTTCGCCCCGGAGTCGAAGAAACCTCTTAGCTTGACGAGGATATCCGCGACGCAGGTCTGCCAAACCAGTCGGGGTATCATCGACAATAGCTGTGATGATAGAGCGGCCTTTCTCCAACAGGCTCAATGCGGCCATCGGTGGCTTGCCCACTTGCAAAGCCGCGGCAGCAGCGTCAGATGCGAGGCCCACGACTGGGCCAAGGACCCATTCTTGATCGTCAACGCTGAGGGACTTGGAAATCAGGGCAGGGACAAGGTCCACGATAGCCTTCGCAGCTTCGTAAACCTGTTGATTATCCGTGCTTATCGCGACAATGGGGATACCAGCCAGGATCCTCTGCGTGACAGGTGAATTCGGGCGATGCAGAGCGGAAAGATGCCACGCGAGTGCTCCCTCTCGATCATCCATGGCTCCCACGGTCGAGTACCTGACATCGAGAGCAATGCCGAGATCGCGCAACCAGCATGTTCTGTCCGAATCACTCTCTGGTGTCGCATCGACTGCTTGCCTGTAATATACAATCGCATCATCAATGTCAGCTGTCACGTTTGTTACCGAGTACCGCTCGGAGAGCGCATCTGCCAGATTGTTCAGAAAAGTGGCGAACTCAGGGCCGTCTGTTGGTTCTGCGGCAACTGCCCGTCTGTGGGCATTGATGGCTTCTCCGAGATCGTTCATTTCTCTCGTCTGGAAGAATTGAAGCCTCAGAGCACTCCCAAGGTCATCAAGCCGTGTCGGGCGCTCTGGGCTGTTGCTCGGTGTAAGGGCAAGGGCTTTTCTCTCCATAGATACCGCTTCTCTCAGATCAGCCATCAACTTTGTCCTCTCGTATTTGTCCGCCATGCAGAGGCCAAGGTCGTTCAACAGGTCTGCTCTATCATCGCCATCCCTTGAAGTCAACATAAGTGCGTCCCAATTAACTTTGATAGCCTTTTCGAGATAATTGATTGCGTTCGTCTCCCGATAGAGAGACCGAAGTGCGGTCCCGATCCTGGTCAACAAGCCCGCCTTGGCATCATAGTCTTCTTCCATGGATGCAAGTGCCTCTCGTTGAGCTTTGCAGCCTTCTTCAAGATCGGCCTTCCTTTTTGTGATCGAGTGTCGTCTGACGAGGGCGATCCCAAAGTCGACCACCCATTCTGCGCGGTTTGGATGGTCTTTCTCCGCTGTGGCAGCTACATACCGCCCAAGCGTGATAGCGTCATCGAGGTCGGTTGGCTCGCCTGTCCGCTTGTGTCGAATCCAAAGAGCGAGGGCAAATTTGGCCGAGTACATGCTCCAATTTGGATCAGGCAGCCCTTTTGATCCAAAGAATTGAGCTATCTGGCACGCCTGTTTGTGAAGCCCGATAGCTTCATTAAGCTCATCCGCCCCACCAATGCTGTTGGATTTGTCCACGAGCAACATGGCGAGCTTGTTCAATATTCCTGGCTTGTCGGGCTTGATGCGATCCTCCGGGCCTGACGTTTCAGCAAGTGCGCGTCTTCCAAAACGTATGGCTTCGTCGATGTCGGCCGCAGCCCCTGTCTTTGCAAATCGATCGCCGAGCAACATTCCAAAATCGCTGGTCTGCAGAGCTCGACAGTCGCACTCCCGGTCAGGTGCTGCTGCCTTGAGTTCCTCCCAGGCCTTCTCAAGGGCCTTGTTCATGTCCTCCAAAGTCTTGTAGTTCCAATTCACGAAGTCCATCTTGATTCTCGGGTATTCAACGACGTTTCGACGTATATGTTGGACTTGGACCGTTATGGGATATTTTGTCGGCGGAGCGGATTGCTTTCTTCTGTTGCAGGTTCGGGTGGAAATAAAGACCTGTTTCGTCGTCAGCTGCAAGCCTTGCCAGAATGACAATAGTGTTTGATGTTATACGTCAGTAGGACGCGTGGCCATATAGACCTAGGTCGGCTGCGAGGCTGGAGCCTTACTTACACAGATCAATAACTGAGTTCGAAAGAGCACGATCCTGATCGATAAAGAGTCAAGACAGCTCTGTGAGAGATGATGGAAGAAGGAAGAAGAACTGCGGGGTATGAAACAATGGCAGAGAATTATATATGTGACAGATAAAGCCTTATGTGATAGAAAAGTGCAGGAATGGCTGGCGAGTGACGTGACGACCTGCAACTGCCCCGCTGACCGCCTCACTATTGGGCTCAGCTCGCAACGCATCGGCTGAGATTGTGCCGCTTTGGCCTCCCCTATCTAGATAGGTAGCCAGTATTACCTCATGCTCCTCTGAGGAACGACAGCTCCGGAGGCGTCAGGCTCAGATGGGCAAGCTTAGCTGAGGTCGCAGCGTGCAGCTAGCAGGAGGCCATGCTAAGCATATTTTTGTTTGCAAGCTGTAGACGCTGAGATCCCTATCAGGAATGATCTTTTCCTAGGAATACACTCCCCCCTTTCTCCCTTTTACCATGGCTCCCTAGGTCCAGAGATTGTCTGCTGGGTAATTTTGGAGGGAGGATATGCCATTGAAGCATGGCAGGGCGTATGGGAAGCTCTTTTCTTCTTGACGTGATATTCGGCTCTCCCTTGCACAATGTATGGCGAATATGTTTACGGAGAGCCTCTGGGTAGATGCACAGGGAGGCGCGTGTAGGCTTAGCCAAAAGGTCAGCGAGCGGCAGGGAATATACGTATTGACCATGGGCTCTATCGCCACTCGCCACTAAGGCAACACGTAGAGATCAAGTGTGGTCACAGAAGAAAATCAGCATGTCATTCCTAAATGTCTTGTATCTAGACAAACTCCCCCAAGTGGCTGGTATCAATAACGCCCCGTATCCAGGTATCCTATGCGTTGCCATGTCCTTTCCTTTCCGAAATCCGTTCCCCCAAACCCCTAGATCCAAAAATAAAGAAAATAGAAAAGTAATAAAAAGAAATAAAAAGAAATAAAGAAGCAATTGGTCTCTAGTACGTTGAGATCTTCAGATACCGCTGCATCCTCCCCCTAAAACCCGTAACCTTGGCATTGGCCCCCTTCCTCAGCAGGAGCTCAAACACGACGGGCTGCTTGTGCGAGGCAAGCATGAAGGGCGTGTTCCCGTCCCGGTCGGCGATGGAGAAGTCGGCGCCCCTCTCGAGGAGGTAGTCGACGACGCCAGCGTGGCCCCTGAACGAGGCGATGTTGAGCGCCGTCCGCTTGAGGCTGTCCCTGGCGTTGAGGGCGGCGCCGTGCGCGATCAGCAGCTTCGCGATGGGGACGGACCCCTTGTCCGCGGCGATGTGCAGCGGCGTCCCGCGCTTCTTGTCCGAGGCGTTGACGAAGGCGCCCATCTTGAGCAGCAGCTCGACGACGGGGTACGAGTTGACCGCCACGGCCACCATGAGGGGCGTGCAGCCCCGGGAGTCCTGGACGTTGAACTCGGCGCAGAAGCGGAACAGGAGCTTCATGATGTCGATGTTGCCGACGAGGGCGGCGAAGTGGGTGGCCGTCTGGCCGTCGGGGCTGGGCATGTTCGTCCTGGCCCCGTGGTCGAGGAGGGCCTGGACCAAGTCGATGGCCTGGCGCTCGATGGCCTCCTGGATGACGGGCACGCCGAAGCGGTTGACGCAGTTGGGGCTGGCACCCTGCTTGAGGAGGAACTCGACGACCTCGGAGGAGTAGCTGTCAATAGCGCACGCCAGCGCCGTCTCGCCCTGCATGTTCTTGACCCCGACGTTGGCGCCTCGCTCGACCAGCCTGCGGACGACGTCGCCGGCTTCTGGGATCTGGGCGGCGTGGTGCAGCGGCGTCATCTTCTTGATGTCTTGCGCGTTGATGTCTGCGCCGTGCTTGAGCAGCACGTCCACCAGCTCTACCGATCCCATGGAGCCAACCATGTGGAGGGGCGTGGCCCCCTTGATGTCGATGACCAGCCTGGCGCCGTGCTCGAGCAGGTAATCGGCAACCAGGGCGGGCTCCTCGGCATTGCGGTCCATCGACAGCGAGTTCTGTCCTTCCTTGCTCAAGGCGTTCGGGTTGGCGCCCAGAGACACTAGCAGCTGGGTCATCTCCAGCTTGCCCAGGTATAGACTCGTGGTGTGTAGGGGTGTGCGCCCGGCACCGTCTCGGGTATTGACATCGGCGCCGTATCGGGTGGCAAGAAGCTCGACGACATCGCAGAAGCCAGCAGAGGCGACGCTGTGCAGGGCCGTCTCGCCGTCGGGTTCTCTATACTCGACTCGAGAGCCGTAGGCGATGAGCTGGTTGATCGTCTCGAGGAAGCTCTCCCTGTCTCGCTGGACGGTGTGGTTTCGAGGGCAGTTCTGGTACGTGTGCGGGCTCGCGGCAATGGAGAGGGGGATGCGGCCAAAGCTGTCCTTGGCGAGGACGTCGGCGTCGTACTCGAGGAGAAGGGTGGCGATCTCATGGCTTCCGTCATGGGCGGCGACGTGGAGCGCGGTGTGTTGGTGTCGGTCGCGGATGTTGATATTGACCTTGCCGGTCTCGAGCAGGGTCTTGACGATGTCGAAGCAGCCGGACCCGACGGCGGAGAGGATGGGGAAGCCGCCCTTTTCGTCCCGACTAAGCTGGTCGAAGGCTCCGTACTTGTCTTTGCAGGCTAGGAGGCTGTGGAATACTTCGGAGTCGCCGATCTCGGCGGCGGTGGTGATGTGGTGTAGCTTGACGAGGTCGATGCCAGCATCAATGGCACGGCGGACCGTCTCGGGGCGTTGGTTCTTCAGTGCCCAGGTCATTGCCGAACCGTCGTTGTGTAGGTAGTTGTTGCGGTAGAGGTGGGCAGAGGAGGAGCGGAAGGCCCTCCAGCAGGTCCGGCTGAAGGCACTGATATCGGCATCGTCGAGGAGGGAAACGGAGATGGCCTCCAAGAGCTCGTTTGGGAGGTCGAGCAGCAACATGGTGGTGATATAACGAATGACAAAGCAAAAAAGAGTATCAGCAGAAGAAGGCAGTGGAGAACCAAGTCAAGCAGAAGACCAGTTTGGAAGAGATAGCACCAGGTGAAAGAGAGGATGAAGGTGGTTTTAGAAAGCAGTCAACTATCCCAGCTGAGTAAGAGGTCGAGGCATGTCCCAGTCAGCCTTACACTGGTCTCTTGGTGATCAATTAGCTTCTTTACGTCAGTCAAGACGGTTCCCGTTTTGACAGCAACGGAGAGAAGACTAAAGCCGAGACTAGTGTTTGACCAAAGGATTCAAGACCGGGAAGAAAGAGGAGCAGGCGGAGGGACATGGTGGATTCTTAAGACGCTCGCGAGGCAGAGCAAGTCGATCCTCCCATGACACCAAGGTATTGTTTCGGCCGCCGGGCAGCCAACCGAGCACCAGGTGAATCACTGAATGATCGTGCAGAGAGGAATCTGGCAGCAGGGGGCCCATGGTGACGGACAAGGGGAGATGGGGTCGATTCACTGCATGGATGGGCTAAGAATAGCTGCTGGGCTTCCGGTCCACAGCGGTCCGTCCAGGCCATCATTCACTTTCCACGTGTTGGCAGCTGAGAACTTCAGCTAGTGCCCTGCTCTCGTGCAAAGGTGCCTCCCCCTGATTGCAAAGGCTCATTGTGATCAGTTGGTTTGCGTTCCAGTGTGATTGATTGATGCATTGTACCTAACCAACACGCACTCAATAGCCATCCCGCCCCCGAAGCCAAAAGGACCTGCAATTCGCCCAACAGAACGCAGGTCTCTCAATGGTGCTACCCCTCAGTGACCCGTGTACGTGCAACCCAACGTAAGCCAGGCTATTGTCGTGCGGGGATGGTGCCATGTCTAGCGAAATTAGCCTGTGTCAGGGTGTTATTTCAAGCAATCCTTCCAGCGTCAGACTCCATTGTCAACTGTGCCCAGTCACATTAGTGGGCCTCTCAATGCCTACTACATCAATGAGAGCTGCGCCAGATGGCCACAGGACAATAGCGTGCTACGTAACCAATATCTGTGCTCTGTTGGTGATGCCGTTGGTGATGCCGTTGGTGATACCGTTGGTGATGCCGCGGATGGCGCTTACGGGTGTGACGAGTCCAATAATCACAGCAAGAAGCGCCCGAGTGAACTTCACGTCAGGTGCAGGATCATGCAAGGTGGCACTGTGGATGGATACAATAGCCATCTGCCGCAATAACACCTCCCTTGGACGATCGACTCATGGAAGGGATCAAGGGATGCTCCTTGATTCGCCGAGCCAACAGTTAACAGTTGTGACGGATTGGGCAATAAGCCTCTACCCGGAGATCCCGCTAATTCAATTTTTGAACCCCCGATACGTGTACCCCGCTACTTGAAAGCTGAAACTGTCAGGTTTGCAGGGGACTTGCGACACAAAAAAATCAATTGCAATCCTGGCAGCTTACTCTGAATATTGAATGATAATGTATTCTATTCGTGATGGGCTATATCGAACAGGTCGGTGTGGCATTTGAGCCTACCTACCCCCGACAGTCTGCGTCAGTTGCATATCGCGGCCTCCTCGTTACTGCGATCTTGCGTCCGACCAGGTGAAGCTCGAGCCACGACGCATCTTAAGCGCCTGCAGTGTTTCGCGTTGCTCGCATGAATGTAATTATTTTGCAGCAATGAAACTGACCGAGTCATGTTGATTGCTCTTCTCGTCGGCGTCACTAGAACAATCAATTGGTGGCCGAGTATCATTTGGTGGCAATGTCATTCATTACACAAGATGATTGATTGGGACCGACCGCAATTTCTGTGCTGACACTTGCTGTCATCTTGACAGCATCACCTACC